TATATATATATATATATATATATATATATATATATAACTAGTAAACAACATATTAACTAGTAAAAGAATGGGGAGTAATAGTAATATATATGAAATCACATTAGATTACTCTCTAAAAGTATTCTTGATGATCTTAGCCTTTCATACAATCAAAGATTGGATTTGACTAGTCAACAATTGTGGCTTTGACCGATCAAAAATTACGGTCATGCAAAAAATAGAGAGGATAGTTTCTTAAATTTTACAAATAGACTGCAAACGAGTTTATATATGAACCTATGTAATTCACATAATTCATATGTGAATTCGTATAATTCACATATGACCTATTTTAACTGATTCGCATATGAACCTCACAAGTAGCCCTTTATCTGGTCAACATTCGCGACTTTAACCGTGAAGCACCAGATAATTCCTCAAGATAGAAGGGTAGTTTCGTAACTTTTACAAATTGCTTTCTTTGTTTTTATGCACATATGCATACCAGACAAAATTGCTTACAAATTATTTGTATGTACATGTGCATAACAGACAAAATTGCTTACAAATTATTTGTATGTACATGTACATACCTTCCAAATAAACAGTTACCAAGATTTTTCATTTTTTTTATGGTTTTAACCCCAAACTAACACTTCCTCTATAAATTCTAAATTATTAGGTTTTGAAATTTTGATTTTAGTTTGAAGAAAGATGAAAACATGATGATTCTTGATGTGTTGTTTTGTATTTTATAAAAAATAATTGAAGGCTAAAAGAACTTAGAAAATGAAAGAGATTAGAGTTTGAAACAGACCTAAACAAAATGACAAAAACACAAAGTCACATGAACAAAACATAATAAGACTTCACAAACAAAACAAAGAGTATTTGACTTAGCGGTATCGTAGTCCTTGGCCTCCTAAGAGATCAATGATTCAAACTCACCAAAAGTGAAGAGGGTGTGTGAGTTTATTTGTTGCATTTGTCGTATGAATATTATATACTTCAAAAAGAAAACTTAACAAACAAATATTACTAACGGTGTTAAAATCAAGGACTCAATTGTTATATAAATGAACTTTTTTCGACTAGTATTAAAACTTTTTTTTACTAAACTGTGTTGGCAGTTGCTGAATGGTTTGGTGCAAAATGATTAAGTGGTGAGAATAAATAAGAGGCTCTCGTTATATATAGTGCAAAATGAAATATAATTGTTTGATAATTGTTTACAATGAAATTAGGGCGCTGAATGGTTAAGAGAGACGCACGATACAAAATCATTCAGAAGGTTTTAGATCCATTAAGAGACAGACTTTTTTTTTGTCAAACAAGATTCATCTCTTAACGATTCAGAAGTTGTCTCTTAATGGAACTATTAAGAGATAAACAAACAACTCTTAAGTTCTGTTGTAAAGTTGGGAACACAGAAAAACGTATCATGTGTCTCATACATTTATAATTTATTCATCATGAATGTGTATCATTCATTATGAATAATATAAGCATTCATCATGAATGTTTAGGTTCATTATTCAATATTCATCATGAATATCGATAACCAGGATTAACATGGCGCTCTCTTTTGTCTCCCGTTTTACAACGAAGAAATGTTTTGCAATTGAATTTTCCTCGTAAATTTAAATTTTGTTATATAATTATTTAGAAATTTTGATCTCTTTTAAAAAGTCCAAAGATTTTAATGTACAAGTACAATGAATTTTCTTAACAATGGCTATTTTCATACTTAAAACATCGACAATGATAATCAGGTGTCTCTTGTTCTTGTTAACGTTCTGATCTCGAAATACGTATTACGGGGTGGGAAATAAAACGAAAGTGAAAAAACCTGTGTTTTCAAAACTTTTTAAGATGAGGAAGAAGATGAAACAGAAATAAGTTTCCTTCAAAAAATTTCCTTCCAAATATGGAGGAAATAAAAGAAATTGAAACTCTTTAAAAAATTATTAAAACTGTAAAGCTATTTAATATTTTATATTAAATAATATATTTTTAAATAATATATTTTACGGTTTATTTAATCAGTTGATTTTCTACACGTTCCTAATTTTCTCAACTAGCAGTGTAAAATAAAAAAATAATATACTTATTTTAAAGTGGAATGAACAAAGATAGAAAAAAGACCTGATTCATCCCACACTACCCTATGGTCCTAATCTGCAGCTTCAGTGCCCAAATTGATCGTCTTTATTTTCATATATATATATATATATATATATATATATAGAGTTGGGTTCACGTGAGACCAGCCTGTTTTCGTGAGACCCGTGAGACTACATTTTTACACGTAACCTTTACAACAAAAACACTGTGAAGGTTTAAAAAAAGTCGAACCTTCACAGCAAAAACACTGTGAAGGTTTTAAAAAGTCACCTTCACAGCATTTTGCTGTGAAGTTTCAAGTGTAAAATGTTGGTCTCAC